TTTTTTTTTTTGCTGATCCGAAAAATGATCCGATCCGTGACTCAAAATCCGTAATATGATCTGAACCGTGAGTTTTGTGATCCATTGCACCACTAAGGATGAGATCTTTTTTAAAAGACATAGATCAGAATGTTCAACTAGCTGTCCAACAACTGAGTTGTCTTTTTGTTGCTGTGAGCATTTTTCCCTGCATTCCCAGTTCCCAGTTATGTACACTACCATTCAAAATTTGGAGTCTATAAGCTTTATTAATGTTTTTGAAAGAAGTCTTTTATGCTCACCAATACTGAATTTATTTTATCAAAAATACAGTAAAAAAAAAAAACAGCTGTATTGTTAAATATTATTACGATTCAAAGTATTTTCTATTTTAATATATTTTAAAATGTAATTTATTCCTGTGAGCCATTACTCCAGATTTCATTGTCACGCGATCCTTCATAAATCATTCTAATATGCAGATTTGGTGATTAAGTTACATTTTAATAGAATGTTTAAAAAAAAAAAACAGCATTTCTTTTAAATATAAATGTTTTGTAACACTATAATTTATTTACTGTTTTTATTACTGCTTGTGATTAATTGAAGGCATCCTTTACAAAAACAATTGACCGCAAACTTTTAGTGACCGCAAACAGTAGTGTAAATGCATGCTTGAACCATTAGTATCATGTTGGGAGTTTTTGATGTTATGATCCTAATGTGTGTGTCGTTTTTTCAGGTGAGAAACTTATGTTACATGGTGAGTCGAAGAGAGAAACTGAAGCTGTCCCAGAGTAAAGCTCAGGAGCAGATTTTCAATCTACATGTCAAACTCATTAACCAAGAGTTATCTGCAGGTAATTAACTTTTTTTCTGTATTATTATTTTTGTTTTGTTTTTATTATTAATTCATTTATTAATTTGTAGGGTTTTTTGTAGCTTTGAGTTAAAATTAACTCTTTATTTTTATTTTTTTTAAATAATTGTATTTTATATTTTGAAAAAAGTAGTTAAATAAATTTACATTTTAAACTTTGTACTCTACACTTCTTATACTTAAAGTTAAACTCTTTTAGTCAAAAAGATCCATGACATTCCAGCACCACTGAATAATTGACTAACTTCTACTTTTGTTGGTAGGGCTTCCAGTGTCCTCTTCTTTAGAGAACTTATTGTTCCATCCTCCTAGGATAACCCTAAAACTCAAAATGCCCAAAGTGTCACTTGGCAATGGCAAAACCAGCTCCAAATCTGTTAATGGACCCCTGTGCCCGGATAACAGTGGTAACGTATATGACACTAGTGAGGGAGGCATCGGTCAGGGCAAACCGCAACTCCATCTTGGACGGGTAAGGATAGAGGAGCGCGCCAATGGTCTCTTGCCAGCCTCCATCTACATACGACGAGATGGTGGGACTCCCCCATTGGTCATGAAGCAATCTGGCAAACCTTTAGCTCTGCATGCTGCCCTCCACGGTCAATCGTCTAATAGGAAAGGCAAAACTGAACCAGAGAAACCCCGCCAATTGAAATCCAATGGCATTATGGACAAGCCTGTACTCCAAAGAGACACTTCCTGCCAGACGTCCACTGAAAAGGACACATGCAATGAGATTTCAGGGAAAAGTCAATCAGGTGGATTCCACAAAACCTCTCTTGAATACTTCAGTCGATCCCTCAAGAAGGCCACTGTCAGTTTAGTACGGACTGAGGATCTTCGGGCCTTTGAGAAGAACGCACGCAAGTCCTCCGGATTCTCCAAACCGGTTTCTAATGAGCGGCCGCTAGGGGGCAGCAAACCATGCCAAGAGAGTGACGGTTACTGTCCGGATGCAGAGCTCAGTGACTCTGAGCCGGAGGCTAAAGGGAAGTGCCGGCAGGGAGGGAGGGGGCAAAATCAGAGAGGACCAGCTGGAGGCTACGTCAAGTCTGCCAGCCGAGCAAAACTGTCTTTTGGCTCTAGGACGTCAGTGCAAAGGTGACAATCTTCAAAAGCATTAAAAACATCTCAAACCCACTGCCACAAGTTACCGTAGTCCTCTGGCGGTAATCAAAAGTGCCAGATTCTGTTTTCCTCTGTTGAGGATCAGCCGATGAGGTTTAGTACAGTGTGCCAAAATGCTCTCCCTGGCTGATTGCAGAAGTTCAAGTGATTGGTCTATTTTTGTGTTGGACTGATATATATCACTGTGTCTCTCTAACCAGCCATAGGGTTTCTGCTGCACTTGGACTCAGTATGTGAGAGCACCTACTATACAGTAGGTTTTATGAGCCGTCAAGCAGTGTTTCTGTACTTAAAAGGAACCTCACTTTTTAGACTGTACATAGTAGTTTGTGTTAAGATGTGGAGCACATTGAGATGCTTTCCACATACTGAAACGTTATCATACTTTCTTACTGATATGCTTATGCAAATAAATAAAGACTTAAGAACTCTGGTCTGACAAATCATGTGTGTTTGATTGTTGTGAGGTGCTGATGTCTGGCAGGACTGCTTCCTATTTTTGTTTTTCTGTTCTTCCATCTCTTTGGCTCTCTTCCTTTTGCTTTGTTGCCACTTCTTTGCTAATGTTAAAATTGGCATGCTTGGGTTGAAAAGAAAGTGTGCTTGTGCAACTGAAATGGTCTTACCTCTGTGTCTTCTGATTGTGAAGGGAAATGTCAGACCTTAATGTTTATATTTAGAAGCAGAGTGCTCCTTTTATAAAGCACCAAGTAACCTTTCTAGTCTTGGTTTAACAATAGTAAAGATCTACATCAGAATTCTCAACAATGATCAACCTGCTCTTGAACACCTGTGTGTAATTTGAGAGAACTGGCTGGTTGTTTGAATAGAGCTGCATAAACTGTTGAATTTATTTAATACACGAGTTTCACAATTTGAGTTGAATTACTGAAATAAATGAACTTTTCCACGACATTCTAATTTATTGAGATGCACCTGTATTCCTAAAGAATGAGTTTTGCCTGACTGATGTGATGGAAATATGCATCCATTAGGATCTTTCTATCACCATGTGGACAATCTAACTAGAGCCACTGAAGGATTGCAGCTTGGAGCCTGATCTACTTTAAAGACTGATCTACTTGGATTCTGTATTAATGTAATGAACAATAGACTATTCTTATCATTGTTTGACAATTTGTGCTATGGCCGAAGTACTATATTGTCTTGTTTTTCAAACGTTGTCTTTAAAAAGAGCTTCTTTGTGACATAATACATGACAAAGAAGCCCTTGGAGCCACTTCATGCTGGTCTTATAGAATTCCAGTGAAGTAAAAGGAAGGTCAGCTGGACAGCTGCGCCATAGTGAACTGGATTAAGTTGGCTTTGTCAAACTGAAAACAATAGAACTGCACAGCAGGAATGAATAGGTTCCATTACTTCTTTATTTTAGTTTTTTTTTTGAAGATGATGGGTCTGTAACTGGTCAAATTAATAGGCATTAAAGTGTTATAGAGATGTCTCTTCTGTGTACTGCAGTGATGCTGTGAGGTATTAGAGAAAAGTCCCGTGTCATCGCGAAACACTGTTTCTCTTACAATACTGAGGTCAGCAGTTTAGCATTCACAGCAGCAGAGAGGAGCTGCATCACCAGTCCCATCTAAAGAAAACAATGGAGGAAATTAAACTTGCTCAGTCAGATGTATTCTGTAATAAAGAATGGCGAGAAAAGAACGTGTGTTGACAGTAATTCATCGCGTGGACAATGTCATAAAGTATACTAGCATCTGCCTAAAAATTAAAACCCTCCTCCGCTCGCCCGCACAAAATACGAATCCTACTATGGGGAAGGTTTATGAATATTAATTAAGCAAATCTGACGACGCTATGTGACCAGCCAATTCCCCTAATTAATATTCATGAGCCAAGTTTTCCACGTTTGTAAATTTGCTAGATGTCTCCCCTTTCGGCGAATCATTTCGCCCTATGGGGAGAGCGTCTCGTTACGTCATTAAATATTTATGACCCAAGCCTTCACCGTAGTACGTTTCTAAAACTGTCAGTCTGACCGGGTGGAGAATGCAGTGGATAAATGCACCGTTTCTATCACCATTTCTTTTCTATAATATCGCTCCAAAGGACGAATTTTCGGAACGTCCAGCAGATTCGTTTGATGATTGAAATGAAAGGGAAATTCTAAAATAAATTTAATCTCGTCATTACACGGAGAAGAGAGAGTTTCTTCCGGACTATTTCGGTTATCAACGCGGGATTATGTTGTGGATACCTTGCCCGGTTCAACCTTGTGCCGCCAATGACAAGTTCAGCACCGCGTAACATCCATCCCACTTTTACACGACCACCATGGGGCTTTGGGAATCAATAATGAAGCGGACGGTTATCTCGTGTTCTTTTCAACATCCGAGTCCTTCAGCATTAGAGTCTGTTGAAGCCGGTTTAACCTGTACCCACGTGTCACGTGTCACGAATTAAAATAGTTTAAAACATATTTGCAGAAACATTCTTCCTGGACTAAGAAACCAAATTTAAAGCCTGGTAAATCCTGATATTTTAAAACTCATGACAGTGCACATTTCAATTCATTGCATTTGAATAAAATCCTATATTTGCATAGACACTAGTCTTTGCTCTGTTAAATAAACCTCAATGAATTTCCATGCTGGTCCAAGCTGGTTTGGAGTTGGTCTAGATGATGGACCAGCATAGCCATGTTGTTGAGCAGCAAAATGGTCTTTGGATGAAGCTGCTTGACCCAGGAAAGCTTTCTGGTTAAGCTCTCTCCTGATGCTGGTGTCTTTTTTTCTGTTTATTTTGGATGTTTATCGAAGTATCAAGATGAACTTGAATGACATGCATATGCACTCGCTCGCCTTTTACATTTTGACAGAAATCCAAGATGACATCGAAGGTCAGCCAAGTGTCATTGAGTGAGCTTCCCATGGACAACTGGATGGCCCATCTGCCCAGTGCACTGTGGGAAACCCCTCTCTGTTACATGGCCATTCCAGGTATTTAACCTCACATTTTCATTTATACATTCACTAATTGCATGCAAACTGCTTTTTCTTGTTTGGCACATTTGAGTTCTGAAAATTACAATTTTAGTGGGACTTTTTTCTGTGTTTTCAATGCGTACCCACAATTCTGGACTTTTTATGGTTTAAATTTAATATTAATCCACAGTTATGTATTGAATGAGTGAATATTGTTATATTAGGAGGGCGCCATTATTAATTGATTAGAGTGACCACGTTGTTTTTGTTTTGTTTTTACAGTCTGCTTATATTTCCTTAGACATTTTAGTTCAGTGCCATTAGTGCTCGCGGTCATTGTGTCATTGTCCTAATGATTTTGTAGGGAGCCATAATGCCATGACCTACTGTCTGGATAGGAATGACCGCTCTCCAGTGGACCCCACTCAACCAGATATGTTGCAAAAGTTGGACAAGTACATGAAGCCCATCATAAGGCCATTTGTATACAAGTGGGCAATAGCACAGGTATGTCGTTGCAGATTGTCGTCAATGAGCCATTTTTCGAAAAGTGTTTTTTTATTATTAGTTATCATTTCAGTAAAATTAATATAATAATCACCATTACGTGTTTTTTCATATATGTTTCTGCATTTTCAATTGGATTACTTGGAATAATTCTGGACAATGGTTGCACCATTCACATTGTCAGTTACATACAAATAGTAAACCATCTGAGTTCATTGAAAGCCTTGTTGTCCTTCATATATTGAAATACAAAATCACTAAAGCTATATCAGAAAATGCATGATCAAATTCTTTATATCTAGAAGTGTTGAATTTTTCACGTTTGAAAAAGCTCAATAATGGCTAAACATGTAAAAGCTGAAAAGAAAATGCAATTATGCTGGTTATGGTATCAAATCCCTCATGAGGTCATAGACCATTTTATGTCAGCATGCATCAGCAGATTCCTGTAGAGCATGAGTCTCTGAAATCTATCAGCATGAGGGGGAATAAATTGCCGTCTGCTGTCCTGAGGAAATCAATCAAACACTCAGTGGCTTTGCTACAGTGAAAGCTCTGAAAGCACAATTAGATGGGATAGTTATGACAAAAGTAACTGACTACGTTTACATGGACATCAGTAATCTAATTATTTACCTTATTCTAAATAAGCCAATATTATGATTAAAGGCACAATATGTAAGATTTTTTTATTAATATATATAAAAACCACTAGAACAGTGTTATATATTTTGCTGACTTGTGTACTTACATTATCCCAAATGTTTCGAAGAATGTTTAAATCCAGAGAAATAAGCAATTTGAACTAGTGACACGGAGCGTGTGGATGATGCCATGTACAGTTTTGGGTGTTTCATTTTTAATTTTATGAAAGCTTCAAGTGCAGTTAATTATTTGTACGTGCATACAGACGATGGCGGTGTTGAAGCTCTTTTATTTGCGTCAAACGGTTGAGAACTGCCGTGTGTGTATCCTGTCGCAAAATGGGCGAAAAGTCCTACACGACGGTAATAATTTGATTAAGGTGTTTACATGTCTATACTGCACTTTAATAATGCGACTAAAATAGGAATACTCCACATGTCTTAATTCTCTGTCTGTTTACTTCGAATATGACTTTAGCCGGATTAAGGTAATCAAAAATCTCTGTTTACATGGTAGATTCTTAATCAGAGTATTGTCTTAATCGTGTTAAAATCGGATTATTGTTGTCCATGTAAACGTACTCATTGATGGATGAGCACATTGTCCCAAATCTGTAGGTGAGATAGAGCGTTATGTTTTTATGTTTTTGTTTGTCTCCAGCTAACTGTTCAGCACTATCTGCACCTGCATTGTTAATGATTGTGCTTTACATTATAGGAGTCTAGCATTAGGGAGCAGTTGGATTCTGGAGTGCGATACTGTGACCTGAGGATAGCACATCGGCCTAATGACAGCTCGAATGATCTCTACTTCTACCATGGTGTTTATACCACTATAACTGTAGAGGTAAGACAACTGACTACACAAAACCATGAAAACAATTGATTAAACATTTAAAAGTCTTAGTACAGCATTTCCTGTCTTGTCTATTTGTTGTGCAATTTGATAAGTGCAGTAGTTCTAATCTGAATTTGATGTTTGAAGAATATAAATAAATGCTTTTTACTTGAATCTAACCAGTTTCTTGTGTTATTTCAGATGGTATTAAAAGAGATCAGAGAGTGGATGGATGTTCATCCAAAGGAAGTAGTCATCCTCTCATTTAGCCACTTTCTGGGCCTCAATCAAGAGCTTCACACACTGCTCGTCTCAACTATAAAGAGTGTTTTTGATTCCAAACTGTGCCCCAAAATGGTATGCATCCATTTTTATTATTTAATTTTAGAAATAGATGATCGGAAGTGGCATCAGTAACAATATGCTTCCAATATATATATATATACAGTGTTGGGGGTAACGCATTACAAGTAACGCGAGTTACGTAATCAGATTACTTTTTTTCAAGTAACTATTAAAGTAACGCATTACTTTTTAATTTACAAGAAAATATCTGAGCTACTTTTTCAAATAAGTAACGCCAGTTACTTTATTATTATTATTATTTTTTTTATTTTTATTTTTTATTCAAATAAATTATGAAAAATCATGAAAAGATACTTCTGATTTTTCTGCAAGGAGTGTGTGACACTACGGAAATTATGGAGCCAGAGTCATCAAGTTATCGTTTCATACGAGCACAATATTGCTAACTGCCACAGAGAATTGTGGTTCCATATACCTTATTGGTGGGCAAATAAGTGCAAGGCTGAAGCACTGATCGAGGAATTTGAACGTAGGAAACAAAATGGCCGACCAGGTAATCCTTAATAATATTCCATGCATTTTTTTAAAATATATTTTATTCAATTTTTTAAATATTTAATTTAATTTGATTAATTAATCTCTTGATAAAACTATCATCTTTGGAAAAGTAAAAATGTTTCCTGTAAAAACAACTCATTTTATTTTATTTTATATTGTATTTTATTGATAAAACTATTCTTGGAAAAGTGAAAATGTTTCCTGTAATAGTAAGCTTTTATTTTTTAATTCATTCTTGGAAAAGTGAAATTAAACATCAGTTCTCATGTGCATCATTTTCCACAGGCGGCTTCTTTGTGACTGGCATTAATCTTACTGAAGATCTGAAGTACATTTGCTCCCATCCCACAGAATCCCTGAAGGATATGGTGATGTCTGCATATCCCACATTACTTAGCTGGGTCAAGCAACAAAAGCCTGGTTCTAACATCGGCTCCCTCAACATCATAGCTGGGGACTTTGTGACAGAGAGCCGGTTCATACCAACCGTCATTGCGCTGAATGAAAATCTGCTCAAGAGGACCATAATACCAGAGCCTTGAGCCTCTTTTAGTCTGCACAATGTATTTAACATTTGAAGAAAGAAGTGTTTTCTTGTTCTTGGGATGGTTTTTTATACTAGTCAATTTTACACTTTTTATAAGGGTGCTTACACACTAGAGTTTATGCTGCATCAGCTCCAATCATTTCAATAGGGATGGTGCATTGCAAGGATGTAGAGGGAAAACACAAGGGTTTGTGAAAGTGAAGCTCCATCATGCAACCAAAAGCACTTTCTGTACACTCAAAAATGGAACCTATGCATTCCTGTCTGCCAAACGCTCCGTGAGAGAATGGTTTCTAGTGTGTGAGCACCCTGAGGATGATAGATCATTTTGAGTTATGGGTAGAATATTGTAATGCACTGACTTTTATGACTTGAACTTACTGTCCTAAGCTTATTTATGCAGTCTCCAATATATACCTCTGATTTTGCTAAACTTTTGATCATTTTTAAGGACCTGGTTCTAAATGGATGTCATTATCAAGGTCCAGGTTACCACAACTTTACATTTAGCACATTACAGGACACAATAAGTTCCCTGTGAGCATCAGAGTTTGCATGAAAATTGCTGAAGTCTACTCAATGCAAGCCAGGATTATCAAACACTCAGGATTGTTCATTCTCTATGATAAACTCTTTTCTACTGTGTGGAATGGCAATGGAAATATGATTCCAATAAGTATATGTCTGCATTGTGCACAATGAAAAGCATGAAAAGACACTGGAATATTTCTGTGGTTGCACACGTTCTCTGCCATAGTAGCATGTTAAGCCAGTTTAATCAAGATATCAGTTTGCATTACAAACAAATATGCCTATACTAACAAAAATATCAACAGCTGAATGGCATATCAATTATTCATATTTAATGTCTGAATATTTCCAATAAATAAAACATCTAACAATATTCATAGAATTGTGTTATGAGTTATTAATAATGAAGTCTTCTCTGGCACACGAACGGAAACAAGAGGGAGCAAGAATTAGCTGATGTGAAAAGCGGTATTTCACTGTGCTTGTGCTATTGATTATGAAGTGTGCTGAAAGCCTCAAGTCAAACTTAACCATTGATAATGGGGGTTTGTGTCTCTTTCCAGATCAAAGATGATATAAAGGGAATATCTCGCTTTTATACATATGCTCTGGTCAGACTTGATTATTTATAATGGTAAAATACATAAATAATATGGAAAATGTAACAGTGTTTACTTGATATTTTTAAAATGCTTTTAAAATATAATTTTACCAATAGCTGTCATTTTGATTAGAGAAAGGAAAAATTATGAAACACCTGGAATATACTTATTTGTGAAAATTAGTTAAGTACTCGGGAACATGGTTTCCTTATTTGTAATATTCATTCTGATAATATCCTAATGTGATCAAATTAACATGAAATGTTTATTTTTTGAATGTAGTATTTTATCCAAAATATGAAGGCTTATGTGACGGGGATGAAGACGTACTGCATAACAGGAATGACCAGTGATCATGTACAGGAAAATCTGTTTTTCGAGGCGGTTTAACTCAGCGACAACATGAATAAAAATGCTGTTCTGCAAGCAGCTGTAAAGCCTGACAGACTTAAAAAGCAGGGAATGAGGAAATACCGAGCAAATACGTCACGAGACTTTCATGGGAAAGAATGATCGTAACACTTCTAAAAACCCTTTCAGTTTCGTAAAACATGTTGTTCGCTAACTGCTGAGGTTGTGTGGTCACTTTTACAAAGA